GCACTGCAATGTAGCTATAAGAAGTATGGGCTTAGTAAGTTGTTATTATTAGGGTACAGTGTTTTTCAATAATTCTATTTGTGAAAACAAATCATTATATTCAACTAGATTGTGGATACCTGAACCGAGCCCAACAGGGCCTGGTGGCACCCAAAGTTTTGGGCTGGGTTAAAACAGAAATTTAGAAATTATATTCAGGTCTGTGTCAGGTTTGGACACATAGGTCAAACATTAGGCTAGATGGCTGGAGCACTCAAAATATCTGCTTCACTTAATGATAAAGGGGAAAAATCGTGTTGGGCTCTGGTCGGGTTCGGATATTATATGCTTTAAGCTTTTGGGTCCAGGGCGTGTTCAAATGCCACAATCTCGGGCACCAGTCACATTCAAACAGAAATATTTTAGCCTGATCCATGTTCAGTATTCAACCAGATTGTCATTATCTTGTTTAGACACTAGTCTTCACTTATTGTTGCCCACTGACTCTACATTTACAACTACACAGTAGGTTCAACCATATAGGTACATTCTAACACTGCCGCCTGAACATAATGTGGTGTAAAACATATGTATGTAATATCTTTAGAATTCAGTGTACCGTCGATTGTAGCTTTGTTTTTCAGTTTTTTTTTGTTTGTTTTTTTTAAACAAAAAAATGCACAGCTGAAGACAAATGTCCTTCTTAATGACTGGAATACATTGATGTCCACTGACTCACAAAAAATCCACAGTGGCAGCATCAAGGCTCCTTAAGTTTTATTGTCCTTTAAAAAAGCTTATTTGCTTTCCCTCTGGCTTTACAGAACAGTATTCTCAACTTTATTACATTCCCGTCCATAATGTCAGGGTGGTTATATAGTACAGTATATACAGTCATCCGCTTCATCTTAGCCCAGAGTGGAGCGCTGTTGCTGAGGCTGGCTGCTGCACTGTTACTTGCAAGGATATATTGAAATCCAAGGGTCCTGTTTGTAGCAGACAGCTGTTAGTGTAGTGGGAAAAAAGTGAGATACTAAATGAAAAGAGGATGCTAGAGAGGCGGGAATGAAAGAGAAGCAAGTGAAAAAGAGACATGGAGAGTAATGACAGAGAGGTGAAGAGGCTGATGGGAGAGATGGAGGGAGAATTATTAAAGAGAGACAGACAGGAATTGAGTTAAAAAGATGGGGAGGGCCGAGGAGAGGCGTAGTGATGGAGAGGCGAAGAGAGATGCTGATGAGAGATGGAGGGAAAGAAGGAGAACAAAGAGATGTAATGTCTTTCATGTTGAGAGGGCTGGAGGAGAGGCAGCCATGGAAATACAAAAAGCTAGCTCAAGTATGTTTGTGAGTCTGTGCTTTAATGTATGTGTGTGTTTTCAGGTGTGTGCATACTCATGTGAAGTATGTGAGTTTCCAGGATTGTGTATGTTTTTGTGTGCATGAAAACCTTTTTTTTTAATCAGGCTATCCATGAGGGAAACAGAAAGAAAGGTGCAAAATACACAGCAGAGGTAAGCTTGACGGGGAGAAAAAGGGGAAAATGTAGAAGGCTGAGAGAGACCAAGTACAAAAAGTGAGTGAGCCATGTAGAAAATGGAGATAGAGAGAGAACATAAAGAAGAAAGATGATTGATAGAAATGACTAAAATGAGAAAGTAGAGAAGACACTGACTGTAAAGGACAGATGATACAGCAGATAGATAAAAGCAGGGGGAGATAAAAGAGAAAATAGTAATTGGAAGGGGAGAGAAGGAGAGAAGGTAACAAAAGTGAAAGAAAGGATAATGGGCAAGAAATACAGGAAAGGTGTTGAGAGCGAGCGAGAATGCAGAGGAGGAAGAAGGTGACAAAGGAGAGACAGGACAAGAGAGTGACAACAGAGGAACAGCACACATCAAAGGGCAGATGGATAGACAGAGACTGCTACACTAGAGACTGTATAAATAAGAAGACGTCCTCCAAAATAAAGCCCCTTTTACACACAGTAGCGTGAATTTGCAGGCTAAATCTAGCGATGTAGCACCTGCTTTTTTGACACTTAAACTGGCTGTGCGAGAAATTCCCAGCAGGGCTTTGTTCAAATGTAGCAGGACTTTGCCGGGTACAGCCGCAACATTCACATGAGACAGGCAGAAAGAAACACTGCGTATCTTGTAATTTCTTCTTCTGCATGAGAGATGAGCAGTTCTTTGATTCCCATGCCACACCTATTTTCCACCATTCTGCTTTACCTCACACTACTAAACCATTTCTTCTTTGTAGCGGGTCAAAATAAACTTTGTACAAGCTACAAGTGTACAAGTGACAGTACGTTCTTCTTTTTTTATTTTTTATTTTATCTGTGCCAAAATTTCAGTGCCTGCCCTAAATCCACTATGAGAGAGAGAGCAAGACAGAGCGGCGATGGTCAAGTGAGCTATAGAGTGAATGAAGAGAGGGAACAGCATTAGCAAGAGCAAAGCAGTAAACCAGAGAAAATATTGTGTGTTAGCCTGTAGCCCTGTTGTCATCTTGACAGTGCCCTTACCGGAAGTTTGACCACTTCAGTTCAGACATGTAGCTGGTAAGTTCTTAGCATTGTACCTGGTGTAAAGTAATATAGCAATACTTCACATAGCCACTCGAGGTCCTCAACAGGTAGGGTGTGGTAAGGATTCACCAAACTGAGTCTTTTCCCCCTGAAGCCAGTTTTGATAACATAACTCGAGGTACAGTATCTGGTGATATGGTACAAATCTGGTACCAAATAAAAATATGCACATTTCACTTTAACTCATTGGAATTATTTTATATAAGATAACAGGTGGCTAGGGATAGCTACAAATTTGGCAGCTCAGTGTACTTGAATGGCAGGAACTGAAAGAAGAAACGCCAAACTAAAAATGACGTTGACAGAACCGGCATTTAATGTGGATCATTGGTGGTGGGAACATGTTTGGTCAAATACCTAAAAATGACCTGATTCTGTTTCTTTTCTTCTGTTGTTAAGTTTTCCAAACTGAAACTCAAAAATGAAGAATTGGGGTGAAACAATGCATGAAACTGTTGTACCCGGTACTTTTTACCATACGGACTCTGAGAGACGAGACAGTCCAAGTAACTACAAAACAGTGCTGATTTATTCCATGAACACAGGTAAAAAATTAACATTACACGCTCAGGTATCTTGCACCTCCAAACTGCTCGCAGGCAGATGAAAGATGAAAGACCCTGAACCCACCAGGCCTATACATTATATCCCCTCGGTTGGGCTAGCCCCATACTACACAGAAACGTCAAACCGTGACGCCACCTGATGTGCCAGCTATGCAGCTGGTCATAGCAGTTGTCAAAACATCAAGTAAATCAATGTGTGTGTGTCTGTTGGTTAAGTGGTGTGTAGCTAAAAACATTCTCACAGACGTCTAGTAACATGTCGTGATATTAAACATAAGAACATATTATGGCTAAGGCTACAGTTATACAC